AAATAGCAGAAATGTTCCATTTTTACCAAAGTTCAAAGGTAAACAAATCATGCCAAGCATCCAATACACATCAACTGGTAAGTCTTATATTCTTTCACAAGTGCGCCGATATTATTTATATCAGTTCTACACTAATGCAGTAGTCTGCATAACAGTAAATCTTCTATTTTTTGTAAGAATAAAAATTCAAAGTGGAAAGCCAAAGAAATATAAGAGGGGCCTGGGGATGTGACTAACAAACAGAGAACTTGTTGTTTTAGTGCCAGAAATGTCTTTCTTGTTTATTCTGGACTCTATTCAGAAATTGGCATATTTTGAAATTTGTGTGAAATTGGCAAAATTGCTAAATTCTGACCACTGTATTGGATAGTTGAAATCGGTAAATGGGTGTTTCTTGTACTTATTTGATAGCAAAAATCGAGTCTAGCAAAATAGTTATAATTTTTGTCAACTAGTACACTGGAATTAGCCGAAAATAGGGCTCAAAGTGGGCAAAATCACCGATGCGTAAACATCGTCGAGACCGATAACTTCACGAGAGCATAATTCCATAAGTTTTCCACCAAATTTCATACTTTTGGTGTCATTATGATCGGGAAAAGTTTCTCTATCTTTTCATAAGAATTTTTTTTTTTTTTTTTTTGAAATTTGGGGGACCCTGAGAACGAGTCTCTGAGAGGGCCTGTGGACCCTGAAAGGGTTAAAGATAATAATTTTATGTAGGTAATAAAACAAAAAAAATTTCAATCAGTAGTTACTGAGATATAGAGGCATGAAGTTGACCCTCAATGACCTGGTGGCGGCAGCATCAGCGACTTCCGTAAAGTCCCATTATTTTATTTCAGGTTTTTGTTACTTTTTTTTTCTTTTCAAATTTTTTTTTCCAGTAACTTTTGTGGCTTTTGAGACCAATATAATAATACAATGTATAATTGTACACTCACTGTATTCAACACAATAACTGCACAAATTTGTTCATCATTATATTGCTTACAAAACTTGTTTACAAGTGTATTGTAAACAAAATAATGATGAAAATAGTGTGATTATTGTATTGAATACAACGGTACCATATAGTACCATATGGTACAATGGTACCATAGAGTGCAAGGGTACCATATGGTACAATGGTACCATAGAGTGCAAGGGTACCATATGGTACAATGGTACCATATGGTACAATGGTACCATATGGTACAATGATACCATATGGCACATTGTACCATATAGTACCATTGTACCATATAGTACCATTGTACCATATAGTACCATTGTACCATATAGTACTGTTGTATTCAACACAATTACTGCACTAATATTTTCATCATTATTTCATTTACAATAATTGTTTACAACAAAAAATATGCAAAAATGTTGTTTATTAGTAATATTCTATTATAAATTTTTACATATGTACAGCCATTGGACATGTTCTTAGAGGTGGATGACAAAGTGCTTTGTCTTGGAAACTGCTGAGTCAGTGGCTTGTGTCCCCGCTCACTCTCAGTCCTGGCTGGTGCCTCGTGGCACCACTACCACCTATGACCATGTGGTACAGGGTCTCATATGTCACAGGGTACCATATGGTACAGGGTACCATATGGTACAGGATACCATATGGTACAGATACAGGGATCCCTATGGAAATAAGTCACCCTGATTTTTTGGGTTATCCTAGGATTTTATACATACACTGCAATGTATGATAATCTATTTAACTGTATTTGTGTATGCCTGAACAAACTTACTCAAGCACATGTGGTGTCATAAGTTTACTTAGGTATACCCAAATAAAATTACATATAGTATTATACATAGCAGCATGTGTGTGGAGACCTAGGACAACTCAAAAAAGTCACAGACTTATTTCCATTAGGGTCCCTGTACCATATGGTACAATGTACCATTTGGTATAATGTACCATATGGTACAATGTACCATATGGTACAATGTACCATATGGTACATTGTACCATATACCAATGTACCACATGATACCATTGTATATTTATTTATTTATTTATTTATTAAATTGAACATGATACAGAGAAGTACAAAAGAATACAGTTAAATGCAGCATGCCAAAGCCACTTGAATGCATAGCATTACGGGCAGGCTTAAAATTAACTTAAGATTAACTAAGCAATGAAGTATTCAGTGGTAAAACATTATTGTAAACAGATAACAATTAAGCACAAATGAGTATTACAAAAAACAGGTCGTATGGTTGCTTGCATTGCTGTACAATCGGTATTTATTTATTTATTTATGGGCAGGCTTAAAATTAACTTAAGATTAACTAAGCAATGATATATTCAGTGGTACAAAAATTTTTGTAAAACAGATAACAATTTAGTACAAATGAGTATTACAAAGACAGGTCATATGGTCATTTACTGTGTTGCTGTGTAATCAGTAGAATGGAGTATTCTGTTAGGTAATGAAGTTAAATAGTAACAAAGTTTGATTGGGTCACAGGTTGACATTCATGAGATACAATAATGAGATACATATATGAGACATATATGGTACATTGTACCATATGGTACTATAGGTACCATATGGTACCATATGGTACAATGGTGCTGTAGAACTATGGCCGTAAAACTATGGCACGGACCCTGAAAGGGTTAAGGAAATGTTTGGATGAATGCTCAGAGTATATGCTCATTCACCAGGGAGACTGACTCACCTACACAGCGGTGGGAGGCAAGCTGATGTGTATAATACAGCCGATTTATAAGTCACCAGCCGAAATACGGAGCAAAATTTGGCCCAAGAACCGGCCTAAATACGAATCAAGCGATAAACACAGCGGTCGACATTCAGGGTTCCACTGTGCTTCTTATCTTAAATTGTGGGTGCTGGTGTTTGTTGATGATTGTGAAGAGAGTGGAGAGTTATGTTGTGGCCCTACTGGGCTGAGGTGGATGGTAGAGGTTCTGGTACTGAAGTTGATGGTTGTACTGGAGTGTGCATAAATTCTGTAATGGATTTCTCTTTTATTTTACCCTGAAGTACATTACACAGCTGACAGTAAGGCATCAGCTGCTCTAGACACCATTTCAGAGCACTGCTTCTAGATTTTTCAGGGTCAGTCAGTCAAGTCAGTCAATCAGTAAACCAGTTAAGTCAGTCAGTCAGTAAGTAAAGTCAAGTAAGTCAGTCCAGTAAGTCAGTCAAATAAGTCAGTAAGTCAGTCAAGTCAGTATGTCAGTCAGGTAAGTCGGTATGTCAGTCAAGTAAGTCAGTATGTCAGTCAAGTAAGTCAGTATGTCAGTCAAGTAAGTCAGTATGTCAGTCAAGTAAGTCAGTCAGTCACGTAAGTCAGTTATTCATCACACAAACTCGTATAATTATCTCATTCTTTATAATTTCACAAAGTGGTGTTTCATTAAGGCCATAGGCTATCTCTTGTCTAATATCTCTGTTTTCTTTGTAGCTCTAAGACTTAAACACTTACACCTTTTCTTAACACTTTAAGCAAACACTGGTATGCCTACTGGGTGCCATGATTGCTTGGCACACATAAGATATGGCAATTAAAGGATCAAAACACAATTCACAAACACAGCTAGCTCCTAAGACAATGGAAATGAACAGTATTCACGAAGACTGGGATGGTTGTGGCAAGAGTGTCGGGGGTGGCAGGGAATGGTGGTAGGTCTCCCCCGCTGACCCACAACAAGGCGGCAGCTTGAGCTGACGGTAAAGCACTGCTTCAAAGAACTGCTTCTAGATTTGTCAGGGTCCTCTTCAGTGAAAAAGTCTAACTTAAGTCAGTCAGTCAGTCAATCAATAAGTCAGTCAAGTAAGTCAGTCTAGTAAGTCAAGCCAGTAAAGTCAGTCAGTTAGTCAAGTAAGTCAGTCAAGTAAGTCAGTCAAGTAAGTCAGTCAAGTAAGTCAGTCAAGTAAGTCAGTCTAGTAAGTCAAGCCAGTAAAGTCAGTCAGTCAAGTCAGCCAGTCAGTTAGTCAAGTCAGTCAGTTAAGTCAGCCAGTCAAGTCAGTCAGTCAGTCATCACACAAACTCGTATATTTACCTCATTCTTTTTAATTGTGCAGTGATGCTTCATTAAAATCATAGGCTATCTCTTGTCTAATATCTCTATAGTTTCTTCATTAATTCTAAAACTAAACACTTATACGTTTTCTTGCCACTTTCAGGAACACTCGTATGCCTACTGGGTGCTATGACTGCTTGGCCGATACAAGATATGGCAATTAAAAGATCATAACAATTCACACACACACAGTTAGCTCCTAAAACAATGGAACTGAACACATGTCTGTGTAGCATAATGGTCTACTGTACTGTACTTTGGTGGGAGATGGCTGGTGTGAAAAAAAAAATTATTTCCCAGCCATATAAAAGTGTACACCTTTCCAGCATCCATAACTTCAACATTATCAGTATCCTCATTTCCAGATATTATCACTCAGATATGTATCACTTCTCTCATCAGAAGAGCAAGCACCAACCAGCCTGACCAGTCAGGGACCCGACCATGAGTAGCAGATGGTGAATCAAGCTATACCACAGGCGGGGATAGAACCCATAATCAGAGAGTTATGTAACTCCAGACTGACACGTTCTGACTCTCTGACAACGGGTTCTATCCAAGCCATGGTATGGTTTGTTTGCAATCATGCCATTACAATTTCATGAGTAATGGTGAATGAAGCTTTCAACAATTGAGCTGTACAACCCAAACGGGTTTAGCACTTCATAAAATACAATACTTTTGTTACTGCTGCGAGCAGCAACTGGATAAGCCATTTGTTCTTTGCAATGAAACAAATAGGTTACAATGTCTAAGTAGTAAGTAACAGAGTAATGGTACTCAATTTGATATTGTAATGGACAATAGTCAATCAGTTAGAATTTAATTTTTAAGTTGACTGTAACTGCGGCAATATGGATTATTACTTTATAATGATATTTTATGCATTTACAATCATTTTCCTTGAATGTAAATAATGAACACCAAAAATACAACATACCTTGAGGGAAACTGCAGGGCATTTAAATTCCACCCACGCTTACTCATATTATCTGAAAGTGTGTAAATGTTGAATATGTTGGACCCAATTGCAACTACCGAAACATCAGGCTTCCCATACACAAAGATACCAGGAATTGCACGACATCTGAAACAAAAATAAGGCATTAGTTTCCTTTTGTTTCACATGCACAAAAATTAGAAAGATACAAATGTAGCAGTAATAATTTCTAGTTCTGTTTGCATGCCTAAAGATAATTCATACTTCAGTTTATTTTACAGATTAACACTATTATTTTGGCTTTAGAGTAGGTAGAGGATGTGTAGATCAAGTGTTTACATTGAAGCATATATGTAAACAGAATTTAGATAAAGTTAAGGAACTTTTCATTGCATTTATGGATTTAGAAAAGGCATATGATAGAGTGGATAGGGGAGCAATGTGGCAGATGTTGCAAGTATACTGAATAGGTGGTAAGTTACTAAATGCTGTAAAGAGTATTTATGAAGATAGTGAGGCTCAGGTTAGGGTGTGTAGAAGAGAGGCAGATTACTTCCCGGTAAAAGTAGGTCTTAGACAGGGATGTGTAATGTCACCATGGTTGTTTAATATATTTAAAGATGGGGTTGTAAAAGAAGTAAATGCTAGGGTGTTGGGGAGAGGGGTGAGATTAAATTATGGGGAATCAAATACAAAATGGGAGTTGACACAGTTACTTTTTGCTGATGATACTGTGTTTATGAGTGATTCTAAAGAAAAGTTGCAAAGGTTAGTGGACGAGTTTGGGAGGGTGTGTAAAGGTAGAAAGTTGAAAGTGAACATAGATAAGAGTAATGTGATGAGGGTATCAAATGATTTAGATAAAAAAAATTGGGAGGGGTGTTAATGTTGCAGTTTAAAAACTGTAGTGTAAAGCACCCTTCTGGCAAGACAGTGATGGAGCGAATGATGGTGAAAGTTTTTCTTTTTCGGGCCACCCTGCCTTGGTGGGAATCGGCCAGTGTGATAATAAAAAAAATAAAAAAAAATTGGATATCACACTGGAGAGAAGGAGTATGGAAGAAGTGAATGTTTTCAGATACATTATTTGGGAGTTAATGTGTCAGCAGATGGGTTTATGAAGGATGAAGTTAACCATAGAATTGATGAGGGGAAAAAAGTGAGTGGTGCATTGAGGTATATGTGGAGACAAAAAATGTTATCAATGGAGGCAAAGAAGGGAATGTATGAAAGTATAATGGTTGAAACACTCTTATATAGGTGTGAAGTATAGGTTGTAAATGGTGCAGCGAGGAGGCGGGTGGAGGCAGTGGAGATGTCCTGTCTAAGGGCAATGTGTGGTGTAAATACTATGCAGAGAATTCGAAGTGTGGAAATTAGGATGTGTGGAGTTAATAAGAGTATTAGTCAGAGGGCTGAAGAGGGGTTGTTGAGGTGGTCTGGTCATTTACAGAGAATGGATTAAAATAGAATGACATAAGGTGTTTATCTGCAATGAAAGCAAACTGCAAATTTTTGGCCACACTGCCCAATCTAACACATTTTTAAGGAAATCCATTTCTGCCTGAGCTTAGACAAACAAGGCAGACTGAGGTGCATCCTTTACAACACTACAAGCATCAATGGCCCAAAGGTGTTACCTTTCCTCTCACTAGCCAATGTGACGCCTTTCATAAAAATATGGTAAACTTCTGTCTTAACTGTAAACATTAAATTACTATATACTGAAGTCACTCATCTGGACAACTGATAAAAGTTAGAAGAATGACAAAACAAGATGAGAAGTAGTTATATAGCTAGTGTAAAGAAGTCAAACTTACCCCTCCTCTATCTTTTTGGCTGTCTGAATGATTTTCCTTGTGTAGTTAACATAACCCTGGTGACCATGGTACACAAGAGCTGCCCAACTTGCTGCTACAATTCCTGTCACAACACACACAGCCAGTGATTATCATAAACATGTAATGTACTCATATAATAATAATAATCATCATCATCATAATAATAATAATAAGTATAGCATACTAAAAAGAAAAAGAAGAAAACTGTCAAAGTGAGATGTTTGAATGTGCGTGAATGTTGCGTGAATGATAAGGGATGATTGTGGATGTTATGAGTGAAAAGAAGCTGGATGTCCTGGTTTTAAGTGAAACAAAGCCGAAGGGGATAAGAGAGTTTCAACGGGGAGAAATAAATGGGATTACGTTAGGGGTTTCAAATAGAGTTAGAACTAAAGAAGGAGTAGCAATAATGTTGAAGGATAAGTTATGGCAGGAAAAGAGGAAATATAAATGTATAAATTCAAGGATTATGGGGAGTAAAATAAGGGTTGGATGTGAAAAGTGGGTTATAGAAAGTGTTTATGCACCTGGAGAAAAGAGAAGTGTAGAGGAGAGAGAGAAAGATTTTGGGAAATGTTCAGCGAGTGCATGGGAAGTTTTGAACCAAGTGAGAGAGTACTTGTGGTAGGGGATCTCAATGCTAAAGTGGGTAAAAATGTTGTGGAGCGAGTAGTAGGTAAATTTGGGGTGCCAGGGGTAAATGAAAATGGGGAGCCTTTAATTGAGCTATGTATAGAAAGAGGTTTGGTAAGAAGTAATACGCATTTTATGAAAAAGGGGATAAATAAGTATACAAGGTATGATATAGCATGTAATGAAAGTAGTTTGTTAGATTATGTATTGGTGGATAAAAAGTTGATGGGTAGGCTTCAGGATGTACATGTTTATAGAGGGGCAATGGATAAATTGTATCATTACAGTGGACCCCCGACTTACGATGGCCTCTACCTACAATAAAACCGACTTATGATGCTTGTCAGCGTAAAAATTTGACCCCAACCTACGTTGAAAAACTCGACTTACATCATTCGTCCCTTACGCGTCCACCCGTCCATCTGGCCTGAGCGCGCCTCAGCTACCCTTCCTTCAGTTAGTGTGCCAATGTTTACAAGCCAATTCCAGTGTTTTTAGTGCTTGTAACTGCTAAATAAGGCACCATGGTCCTTATGGAAGGAGATTCCCCTTCCAAAAAATAATACACTGCCATCATCTCCCCTCCTCCCATCCCATCCCATCACTCATCACCACATCTTCAATAAAAGTAAGTGTCATTTATCCTTCATTACACAATATATATTGTGCATGTATCCTTCTGTTTGTGTGTAGGAAAATGTATATTTCATGTGGTAAAAATATTTTTTTTTCATACTTTTGTGTGTCTTGAACGGATTAATTTGATTTCCATTATTTCTTATGGGGAAAATTAATTCGACTTACGATAATATCGTCTTACGGTGTGCTCTCTGGAACGGATTAATAACCTAAGTTGGGAGTCCACTGTATTTAGTTGTAGTTACAGTTAGAGTAAGAGGTGAAAGTATATAAACTAAGGGAGGAGGAAGTTAGGGTGAGATATAAGCAACTATCCCAGAAAGGTGGGCTAATGCAAGTGTAAGTAGTGGGGGGGTTGAAGAGGGTTGGGATAGTTTTAAAAATGCAGTATTAGAATGTGGGGCAGAAGTTTGTGGCTAGAGGAGGGTAGGTGCAGGAGGAAAGAGGAGTGACTGGTGCAATGATGAAGTAAAGGGTGTGATAAAAGAGAAAATTGTAGCTTATGAGAGGTTTTTACAAAACAGAAGTGTTATAAGAAGAGTAGAGTATATGGAGAGTAAAAGAAAGGAGAAGAAAGTGGTGAGAGATTGCAAAAGGAGAGCAGATGATAGAGTGGGAGAGGCACTGTCATGAAATTTTGCAGAAAATAAGAAAAAAATTTGGAGATAAACAAGTTAAGAAAGCCTAGGGAACGAATGAATTTCTGTTAAAAACAGAGTAGGGGAGTTAGTAGATGAGGAGCTGGAGGTATTGGGTAGATGGCGGGAATATTTTGAGGAACTTTTAAATGTCGATGAAGATAGAGACGCAGTAATCTCATGCACTGGCCAGGGAGGCATTACATCTTTTAGGAATGAAAAAGAGTAGGATGTGAGTGTGGGGGAGGTGCATGAGGCACTACATAGAATGAAAGGGGGTAAAGCAGCTGGAACTGATGGGATCATGACAGAAATGTTAAAAGCAGAGGGAGGGGATATAGTGTTGGAGTGGTTGTTATTTTTGTCTGATAAATGTATGAAAGAGGGGAAGGCACCTAGGGATTGGCAGAGAATATGTATAGTTCCTTTATATAAAGGGAAGGGGGACAAAAGAGATTGTAAAAATTATAGGGCAATAAGTTTACTGAGTATACCAGGTAAAGCGTATTTTAGGGATATTATTGAAAAAATCGAGGTAAGACAGATAGTGGGATTGCAGATGAGCAAGGAGGCTTTAAAGTGGGTAGGGGATGTGTAGATCAAGTGTTTACATTAACAGCATTTAGATAAAGGTAGGGAAGTTTTCATTGCATTTATGGATTTAAAAAAGGCATATGACAGAGTGGATAGGGAAGCAATGTAGCAGAAGTTGCAAGTATATGGAATAGGCAGTAAGTTACTAAATGATGTAGAGAGTTTTTATGAGGATAGTGAGGCTCAGATTAGGGTGTGTAGGAGAGAGGGAGATTACTTCCTTGCAAAAGTAGGTCTTAGACAGGGATGTGTAATGTCACCATAGTTGTTTAATATATTTATAGATGGGGTTGTGAAAAAAGTAAATGTTAGGGTGTTAGGGAGAGGGGTGGGATTAACCCTTTCAGGGTCCAAGGCCAAAATCTGAAGGGGTGCCCCAGTGTCCAAGAAATTTTGAAAAAAAAAAAAAAAATTATTTTTCTTACAGAATTAAAGATAATATTTTTGTGAAGGTAATAAAACAAAAAAAAAAAGTTTCTGATCAGTAGTTACTGAGATACAGCGGCGGGAAGTTGACCCAAAATGACCGGGTGGCGACAACATCAGTGACTTCCACAAAATCGCATTTTTTTATTTTACGTTTTTTATACTTTTTTCTTTTCTTTTCTAGTTTTTTCTTTTTCTAGTAACATTTGTGGCCTGTGAGACCAATATAATGTATATTGTATAAGTGTACACTCATTGTATTCAACACAATACCTGCACTAATTTGTTTATCATTATGTTACTTACAAAACTTGTTTACAAGTTTATTGTAAACAAAATGATGAAAATATTAGTGCAGTTATTGAGTTGAATACAACGGTATAGGTCCTCCATCACAAATCCGGCATCATTGGGACCTGTAGTGTGCTGGATTACTGAGTTTGCCGGATTACAGAGTAGTTAGGTTACAATACTAATAAAATTAAGCAACTTGACTTACACAAAGTTCATTGAACATCGGCAAAAATCAAACATTTCCGCTACTTTGAGCTCAATTTCAAGGTACTTTTCGTCATGAAAGCAATCAAAATCATGTCTATTTCTGTAATATATCTTCCATTCTATCAAATGAGTCCAAAAAAATGAGAACACAACCATAAAAAACATACAAAAATACAGTGGAACCTCTACTTGCGAGTTTAATCCATTCCATGACCTTGCTCGCAACTGGATTTGCTCGTTTGCGTAGTCAATTTTCCTCATTTAAATTAATTGAAATGCAATTAATCCATTCCAGTGGAATTCTGTACTTCAATAATTTCGCTAATATCAACTCTACGGCTTATTTATCTATCTCACTTCATCTAATATGACATAATAAACAATATAAATAACATACAAACCTGATATATACTCTAGAATTAATAAAATATGTCATTCATGTAAAGATTACTAAAAAGAATAAGAAGAAGAAAATTGTCAAAGTGGGAAGTCTGAATGTGCGTGGATGTTGTGCAGATGATAAGAAAGAGATGATTGTGGATGTTATGAATGAGAAGAAGCTGGATGTCCTGGCTTTAAGTGAAACAAAGCTGAAGGGGGTGGGAGAGTTTCAGTGGAGAGGAATAAATGGGATTAGGTCAGGGGTTTCAAATAGAGTTAGAGCTAAAGAAGGAGTAGCAATAATGTTGAAGGATAAGCTATGGCAGGAAAAGAGGGACTATAAATGTATTAATTCAAGGATTATGTGGAGTAAAATAAAGATTGGATGTGAAAAGTGGGTTATAATAAGCGTGTATGCACCTGGAGAAGAGAGAAGTGTAGAGGAGAGAGAGAGATTTTGGGAAATGTTGAGTGAATGCGTGGGGAGTTTTGAATCAAGTGTGAGAGTAATGGTGGTTGGGATTTCAATGCTAAAGTGGGTAAAAATGTTATGGAAGGAGTAGTAGGTAAATTTGGGGTGCCAGGGGTAAATGTAAATGGGAGCCTTTAATTGAGCTATGTGTAGAAAGAAATTTGGTAATAAGTAATACATATTTTATGAAAAAGAGGATAAATAAATATACAAGGTATGATGTAGCACGTAATGAAAGTAGTTTATTAGATTATGTATTGGTGGATAAAAGGTTGATGGGCAGGCTCCAGGATGTACATGTTTATAGAGGGGCAACTGATATATCGGATCATTATTTAGTTGTAGCTACAGTTAGAGTAAGAGGTAGATGGGAAAAGAGGAAGGTGGCAACAACAAGTAAGAGGGAGGTGAAAGTGTATAAACTAAGGGGGGAGGAAGTTCGGGTGAGATATAAGCGACTATTGGCAGAAAGGTGGGGTAGTGCAAAGATGAGTAGTGGGGGGTTGAAGAGGGTTGGAATAGTTTTTAAAAATGCAGTATTAGAATGTGGGGCAGAAGTTTGTGGTTATAGGAGGGTGGGGGCAGGAGGAAAAGAGGAGTGATTGGTGGAATGATGAAGTAAAGGGTGTGATAAAAGAGAAAAAGGTAGCTTATGAGAGGTTTTTACAAAGCAGAAGTGTTATAAGAAGAGCAGAGTATATGGAGAGTAAAAGAAAGGGAAAGAGAGTGGTGAGAGAGTGCAAAGGAAACAGATGATAGAGTGGGAGAGGCACTGTCAAGAAATTTTAATGAAAATAA